ATATATATGAATCTGGTAGGAGTGTTTGATCTAATCCCGATTCGCATACGACCTTGCACAGGTGTTTCGATGTATTTAGAGCCATTCACGCGCTGACGGGCTCGGAAGAGGCGATCTCAATAGTAGCCAAGGATGTGGTACAGGTAATGCATAGCACTGCATGCGAACCTTGTTGAGTGCGCCAGGGTTTTTTTAATAATTGGCATGCCGTATGCTCAAATCGGGTGGCTGTGTCGAGAGTTTGTCGTGCCACAGCTTAACACGATATCACGGTGTACGATCGTGTATTACTACTGTAGAGGTACGCTGCAGTTCACTATTGTAAACCCCAGTCTTACTGTATGCATCAGTGTGCTGGGACCGTATGACAATATAGGGGTGTGTGACTTGAAATAATTATAAATCTGAAATGGGTGGGTTCGAGAGCTGTATGAGTTCTCCAAAATATGTTTATGATGAGTTATGATTAAGCCTATGCCTTGTACCTATATTTTAAACAAATGCTTAGCATGGTTCATGGTATAGATAGGAGTTTACTACTGCATGTGCTATGTCATCCTCGAGACTATGAGTTTCCAGAATATAATAGTAGCCTGGTTGTGTTCATTCCTCGAACCTCAAATAGAATGCTAATACCCCTTGTACGCCATATGACTCGAAAGTACGTTATTAATGCCAAATATAGCATCTGTATTGCAATCTCGATCTAATCATTGTAGTCGCGCCAACATCTCATTGTTGCAATGTGAATATATGAACTTAAATTCGAGACTTACTATTTTCCCATACTTCCCAAATTTGGTGTCTGTTTACATCGCAGGGCTTTGCAAACGATGGTGTGAGGTACCTGGAGCTTCGGACCACTCCCAAGGATACTCCCACCAGTGCCGAGTATGTGCGCACAGTCATCGACGCACTGAAAACAGCTCAAGACAAACACCAAGGTATGGTTAACAACCAACTGTATTGTATGTGAATTTCTGTATCGGATTGTAACTAGTTTTTGAGTGTGCATGCTTTATATGCGTAGACATTATACGCAGAATGATGAATTTTCTGTTTGGATGTGCTGGGTAAGTCGGTCTGTGTCCAATAGGAGTGTAGGCGATGTGAAACTACAATTACCGTTGCAAGACCCACGCAACAGGTGTGCAGATGTGCTACGTGTGGGTATTGTGGGAGGTGTACAGATAGATTGCAATGTACAGTCTACATTCAGATACAGCACTTGTGCGCATATATACAATCCAACGGCAATCTCCAATGGGTCAATTGTCACATACGCCTGTAGGTGCAATCGTCGTACGGCTTATACTCAGCATCGATAGAAGGGGTTCAGTAGAGAAGGCTCTGGAGACCGTCAGGATAGCAGCGCAGAATAAACCGTTTGTTGTGGGCGTGGATTTCAGTGGAGATCCAACGGTGAGTTTGACTCGAAACTTATAGGTATAGCCTTTAAATTGTCAGGCATATCGAGCTTTGTAGTAATTCCAATAACACATGTATACACCCGTACCCAGACCTGTAATCTAGGCCACTTTCATCATTAGCAATTTCTTACTCAACTTTCTCTCTTCCTTCATTTCCGTGCAATGATCGACAATTTCATAACTTCAATAATGATTTGGGCTGCTCCTGGAAAATGACTATTGCAGCACAAAGACGCGCGCGATTTTCAGAGTGCATGGGACCTAGCCAGGTAAGAGGTGATTCTACTGTGCAGAAGGTTATAGCTGAGAATATTACACTACCGCGCTTTTTGTCAAGAGTATCGCAGATGAGTGGAAAGGGCGAGAACTTGGATTTTTTTGCATCCAATATAAGATTATCTATTTTGCTATATGTATTTGTCATTGTGGTAAATATAAACCAAGCACTGTTACCTGTAATGGCACACACCATCGCGTAATCGATACTGCCCGCTTGCTTACAGACAGAAGGATTTGAAACTCGCAATCCACTTTGCGGAGATAAAGAACACCGAAGAAAGCCTGTACATTGTCAATGAACTCAAAGCTGATCGCATTGGCCATGGATGCTTCATGCAGGACGGCGTGGAAGACGCAGTGTTGAAGGCCCAGATACCACTAGGTACCTAAACACAAGTACATGTTGCGCACACACACACACCCTCTCATTTGTGCATTCATGCCTTATTTGTGTAGATCGTGCTCTTCTTGTCTCCCCTATTTTATGGTTCGCTTTTGTTCGAATGTTCAGCTCAGACGTCCGTATCCAAAGCATATTCGGAACAATTACTTTGAGTGGTCATTTTTTGAGTGAAGACGTACTACTGTGCTGCTTCACATACACCTTCTTTTAAACTTACCACACAAGGTGTTATTGTGGATGTCCTAGAGGAAATGAGAAGAGCGTGGAAATTCACCCTTTAATTCGTGTATGAAGCACGAATCGGGCTCGTTAGTTTTGCACCGTTAGTTAAACACCGTCATCTGTTAGGGAAGTACGTGATATTTGGTGTTATCACGTATTAACTCTTTAAGCGAATTCTTTTATTTCGCAGAGATATGCATGTCGTCCAATGTAATGGGACAGTCTGTGAAGGACTACGATGATCATCACTTCCACGACCTGTACGAGAAGGACTATCCTTGTGCGATAAGTGTAAGCGCTTGTAGATGAGGGTAATCTTTGTATGTCTATTTGGGTAATATAAGGGAGCGAGACCTAGAACACTGAACTAGACGTGCAATGGAGGTGGTTAGAGTTGGAGAAATAGTTATATAGTCTAAACATTCCGAGATAGTTTGTATATTACGTCACACAGATGTCTCCATATTGGCTGTGTATTTGTAAGCTTGCAATATTGCGAGAAAATATAACCATTGAAGGAAAAAACACTCCCAAGATCCTAACTCAAACTTTTCTGATTGCCTTCACAGACTGATGACATGGGCGTGTTCTCCACAACACTGTCACACGAGTATGCTATGGCGGCTCGCAAATTGGACATTCCACAGCCACGTATTTGGGACCTTTCATACCGCACAATCGACTTCATATTCGCAGAGGTTGAGGTGCGTTAGTGATGATGATGCAAGTTCGATGCTGATGCGTATTGTGGTCATTTTCCAGTATTAGTCCCCATTTATGCTTTATTCGTTGCTCGTCTGCACGTTGGTTGTGAGATGCAAAGAACGCTATGTATAGTCATGTGCGAAAGCACACTATACAATTGTGCTGTGCTTTCACATATAGGATGTGTCGTTGCTGGTGATCTAAGACTTGATCGTTGTTATTCGCCAGGTTAAAGATCAATTGCGTGAAATTTGGAATTCGGAAAAGGTATTGCTAGCAAATTCAGCAAAAACCGGTTAGTGTACCCCACGATCTGAGTGTCAGTGGTAACACTTTAACACTCTAAACCCTAAAACACTTAACACTGAGTTAATTGAAATAGAAACTTAGAAACTAAATAGTGACCTAGATAGAATCAGGGTATTCGTTGGTAAAGTCTCGACCAGATGATGCGATCTGATCCAGGTTGAAGTTGTTGACCTACGGTTGTTTTGGATTGTACATTTTTCAAAAGTTAAATTCAAATGCAAGTCACTTGTACAATAAACTAAGCATTGCTATATATCCCAGCACGAGCGGAAACACTGCAGCTTTTTATGAGCTATAAGTATTTTTAGCAATAGTAAGCGAGAGAGCGCTACTGCTTTATTAGATTGTAATGTATCAGACAATGCACGAAAATCTGTGATAGTATTATTATTGAGCAGGCTAGAAACAATGATGTCGATTTCGTAATTAGGTTTATGGCTAAAAGTACAAGTTCTTGTATGATAGTTTATGTCCAATTACAGCCCGTTTGCGTATTTCCCAGTGGCCAAGAGTGCTCACACCCCAAAACATCAGACAAGCGGCGTACGAATGGTGTTAGTCGCCTTTTATCACCAATTAACTTCTAGATTCCTAAAAACCCCACACCAAGCTGATGTGAATAATTTGCCGAATTCTATAGCTCGCCCATCCTAGTAGTTAGAATGCCTTGTGCGCTTGATAGAGGTTGGCGTTGCGGTACATTATCCCTCCCACTTCTTAGTCCATACGGTTCACGCCTCCCCGCAATCTAAATTTCGAATTTATTTAAATAATGTCCTAGAGTAGAGATTGTCCGAGCCATGCGCGAATGACGGCCAAAGTGCAACCCCACTACTAGAACGACAGTCTCCACTATAGATGTGCCCAAATGGTTCAGATAGGTGTGTAAATAATGTTATACTTTTACATTTCACCGTAGCGGTGAGTCACTATCGCTCCCACGCACGATAATTACATTTCAAGGGAAGGTCAGAGAGGTATCTGAATGCACTCCAATGTCGATACCCTTTGCCGTTTGCTTAAACAGCGGCGAGCAGTAGTATTTCATCATGATGGCTGTATCAAATTGGCTGAGCTTGTATCTGTGATAGTCAGTAGCACAAGTAGGTGTGTGTACGCCTCAGAGGTCTATGAACGGTATGTCGCATGTACACTGGCAATGTTTGCAAGCATGATGGGAGTAGTGCGCAAGGACTGGGAGACATTGGAAGAACTAGAGAACTTTATATATATATATATATATAAATATATTATAATATATATATATATATATACATATTATATATATCTATATTATATTTTATATTTTATACATTATATTTTATACTTTATATATTATATCTTATGTTACATATTATATAGTATATATTGTATATTATATATTATATAAAATATAAAATATATTATATATAATATATTATAAATATCATATTTTATTTATAATATACTATATATTGTTTATTATATCTTAAATGTTATGTTATGTACTATGTACTATATATTACAGACTATTTACTATATATTATATATTATATACTATATACTATATATTATATATAATATATTTTATATTATATTACATTATATATGATATATAGTCTGTATTATACATTATATATTATATAATATATAATATATACTAAATGTTATATATTATACATTATGTACTGTTATATATTATATTATAAAGTATATATTCACACACACGCACGCACACACACCCGCACGCACGCACTCACGTACTAATGCAAGCACGCACAAACGCACATACGCACGCACGCACGTACTAATGCAAGCACGCACAAACGTACAAACGTACGCACGAACGCACGGACGC